GTAAAGTGATTAGTAAAAATGTGTACGTAATTTCCATGTGTTAATTATGGTTACTTATTAAATTTATGAGCAAGTGTGGACAGAGAATGAGTTTTTGATAATCAAGTCATAGATGAGATGTTTGGAGATGAGAGAATCATATGTTACCTTACTATAAATGGAGTCTAGATGTCCAGTGCTGTCAGTCTCACACATCCCACTGTACCCATATGTTGGATGTTTTAGGACTCAGTGACCTTTGAGGATGTGGCTGTGACCTTCACCCCGGAGGAGTGGGCTTTACTGGATCCTTCACAGAAGAAACTCTATAGAGATGTGATGCGGGAAACCATCAGGAACCTGGCCTCAGTGGGTAAGGATGGCAACTTACCTCCACTTCATCAATTAGAGAACAAGTGTTTTCTGCTCATCAGCGTTGTTCTAAGATGTGGAATGTGGAAAGGGAGGATGCCGATAAATAACCTGGGCATGGTCACAGCTCATCATGAATCTAGAAGCTGATAATTTTTCTATAATTATAATGCTTTGGAATCACTTTTCTGGGTCTGTATTTTAGGAAAAGAATGGAAAGGTCCTGACATTGACGATCAGTACAAAAACCAGGGGAGAATACTAAGGTGAGTTGCACAATAGAAAGCAATGTCTTATGAGAATTTTAGTTTGTTATGATGTTAAAAAAAATAAAAAAAAAAGCAGATAAAACTAATAAACTAATATCTCTCATAGAAAATTTTTACGAAAAATACTTTCTTAAATATACGTGTTCAGTGTTTGCAAAATTGTTCACTTGGAAACAGCATTAATAAACCCTATTATATTTAAATATCACAGTTTGATAATAGCAAGGGCGAAGTCTTCTTGGAGAGCCTTAGTATATATTTCAGACAATTTAGACAAGACAGAATAGCTACAGTTTTCTTATAAATCAAAATAAATATAGTTACTATAAAACCATTAATAAAGAAATCGTTTAAAATGTGCTTCTTGTTTTTAAAGAACTCAAATGGTAGAGAGACTCTGTGAAAGTAAAGAGGTTAGTCAACGTGGAGAACACTTCAGCCTTATTACAGATTTCAATCTGAAGAAGAAAACTACTGGAATAAATCCATGTGAGCACAGTTCATGTGGAAAAGACTTGGTGTGTCATTCATCCCTTGATGGACTCATCACATGTCACACTGGACACAAGCCCTATGAGTATCTGAAATGTGGAGAGAAGCCATATAAATGTAATGTATGTGAGAAAGCTTTTAGTTATCTCCAGTGCTTTGAACAACATGAAAGAACTCACAACGGAGAGAAAACCGATACATGTAAGGAATGTGGGAAAATCTTCAGTTGTTCAAGCTCACTTCAATTACATGAAAGAACTCACACTGGAGAGAAACTCTATGAATGTAAACAATGTGGTAAAGCCTTCAGTATTTCTAGTTCTCTTCGAATGCGTGAAATAGCTCACAGTGGAGAGAAACCCTATGAATGTGAGGAATGTAGTAAAGCCTTCAGATATTATCAGAGTTTTCAAACACATGAAAGACATCACACTGGAGAGAAACCCTATGAATGTGAAAAATGTAGTAAAGCATTTAGTTGTCTCAGTTATCTTCGAAAACATGAAAGAACCCACATAACAGAGAAACCCTATGAATGTAAGCTATGTAGTAAAACATTCAGGTATCCCAGTTATCTTCAAATACATGAAAGAACTCACAGTGAAGAGAAACCCTACGAATGTAAAATATGTAATAAAACATTTAGTTGTCTCAGTTATCTTCGAAAACATAAAAGAACTCATACCGGAGAGAAACCCTATGAATGTAAGGAATGTGGAAAAGCCTTCAGATGTTACCAAAGTCTTCAAACACATGAAAGAAGTCACACTGGAGAGAAACCCTACGAATGTAAACTATGTGGTAAAGCATTCAGGTGTCTCAGTGATCTTCGAAGACATGAAAGAACTCACATAACAGAGAAACCCTATGAATGTAAAATATGTCATAAAGCATTTAGATGTCCCAGTTATCTTCAGATACATGAAAGAAATCACACAGGAGAGAAACCCTATGAATGTAAAATTTGTAGTAAAGCATTCAGATATCCCAGTTATCTTCAAATACATGAAAAAACTCACATAACAGAGAAACCCTATGAATGTAAAATATGTCATAAAACATTTAGATGTCCCAGTTATCTTCGAACACATGAAAGAACTCACACTGGAGAGAAACCCTATGTGTGTAAAATATGTAGTAAAGCATTTAGATATCTCAGTTATCTTCAAATACACGAAAGAACTCACACTGGAGAGAAACCTTATGAATGTAAGGAATGTGGAAAAGCCTTTAGTTATCATACAAACTTTCGAAGACACCTGACAATGCACACTAAAGAGAAACCATATAAAAGTGCAGAATGTGAACAAGACTTCAGTTATCCCAGTTCCTTTCAAACACATGAAAGTACATACTGGATAAAACCTCTTGAATTTATACAGCATGGGAAAGACTTGTATTGGCCCGTATCTTTACACTGAAACTTCCAGAGGAGAACAGAAGTGTAACATGAGAAAACTTGATAGAAGTTAATCCATATATAACGTGCCAGAAAAGTTTCAACGTGAAACAGTTCTTATTCAAGTTGTAAGTACATTGTTTTTCCTAAACCTCTCTTTAAAAGTGCATTATTGGACCTTGGATTGCTACTAATTATGTTCAGAAATGAATAATCAGGTGTAAGATAATTCTAAGAGTTGTCTTTCAACAATAGTATGTAAGATTAATATTGCTTTTTTCTTAAAATGTTAATAATACGTCTCTATTTTGAAACCTGTTAGATTCGTGGGTGATTGAAATGTATTTCTTATATGCAATTATGTTAAAAAAAATTTTTTTATAATGCTTTGTTTGTTCTGTGTTAAGGGACCATTAAAAAAGAACAGTTTAGTAGTTGGATTTTCGTAGTAGCCTTGTGGCAATTCATGTCCTTAGATTATTATATATAGTCTACCTTTCCCTCTGCTAAAGCTCCTTTTGGGGGATGATGGATATGAAAGCCTTTTTTCATTTTACATACTGAGAAATATTGGGAATAAATTTTATGAATGGCAATTTTATGAAATAATATAGTTTCATGTGAATATTATTTTTATATTTGTGCCTTTGCTTTTTATCCTTCCTTCTGACTAGTAGTTGGTGAATTGACTTTGATTTAAGAAGAGGGACCTGTATTAGAGTAACAAAATCTACAGTGGGAAATATTTCCCTTGTGGATAATGTTAGGAACTTGATTTTCCAGAAACCATCCCTTTTATGATTCCATGTTAGAATTCCTTAGTAACCTCACTTGCATTAGATTTGAAAGGCAAAAACAAGACAGTCAGATTTTGGAGCCACCATTTGGACAGACAGATATATAGGACCTTCAAGGACACCACCTTCCATTCCATTTTTTGGATGCTTTAACTTTCCAATCAAGACTACCCTCACAACCTCTACCAACTGTCTAATATCCATTTTCTGAGAGGTATAACTTTCTGCTGATGTCTTCCCAAGACTCACATCAAAGGTGCATTGGAGTCTGGAGTCTTGCGTCAGCCCTCTTGTGTCCACCAGGAAACTGATTCAGACTTTCATGCTATGTCTGATTCCTTCTTCTCTAGATTATATCCGTATAAGGTCTCACTTGTATACAAAACATCTTATGCTGTTAATAGTGCAATGAGCATGTTTTCCTGATTGACCATGACATCTACAATGGGGCCATCAACAAGAAGAACATGGGAATCTTTTTCTCTATTGCATGTGCAATGGCTGCCTTGACTCAGTCCTTCCATGTGAAAAAAAAAAGCACCTTCCTCCTATCAGGAAGACTGCGGGTGTTTCCTGTTGCTTGTAGCTGAATGTAATCCCTCAATATGCTTTCAGTTGTGTTTGATTGTATGTGATTAAAGGTATGTGCTTTTT